TGTATGTTACTTTCTGTGTTTTGAAAGAAATTTGGGTTGCCTGTTGGCTTCCAGGGGTCCAGCAGCCCTGCACTGTCCCTGAACCTGGTCCTCCATGGATATGCAAATGAGAGCTCTAGATAACCTTGAGAGAATGTGTCTTCTTGCCACTTTTTCTAGCCTACCTGTTGGAACCTGAGCTCCAGGTCCAGGCTTTCAACCCGTGGAGTTGTGATAATTCCCAGATGTGTTGACAAATGTTTTCTATGTGTGGAAAGTGTAGTTTTGCTTTGGTTGTAAGACCATAGCACTGTATTGATGCCTGCTGTGGGGATACTGAGCTGAGTGGCAGGTGTAACGTCATGCAGAGCAGGATCAGTTGGCAGCTGGGAGGTGTGTCCTGCCAACATGTTCCAAGGAAGAGACTTTTCTGGAATAAGTGGCAACTTGGCTTTGGGAATTTATAAAAAGAAAGTATGGCTGAGGGCAAAGTCAAATTCAATTCAACTTTCAACCAGGACGGAAGGGCACAGAGTAAACACACAGTTCTGACTGTGCTGTTGAGCTCTGACACACCGTGGACCTGGACACACACGTTCCAGAATTTGAAAGTGTCCTGTGAACATGTAGTCTGAGAGCCATTGTCCTAAGTGTGACAAGGAACAAACTGTTCCTTGGTAACGTAATTTTGTGCAATACTGAGTTGAACAAAGTTCAGCTAGTTTCCTACTTGGGGATTTCTCAGTGCCCTTAGCACACTAATGTGGTTCTTCCTCAGTATTTGTAGGGGAATGCTTCCAGAATCCCCCATGGATAGCAAAATCTACAGGCACCTAAACGCCTCATAGAAAATAGCCCAACATTTGCACGTGAGCTATCTATATCCTCTTGTGTGGGACCTCGAGATTACTACAATGTCCAATATGATAATATGATATAAATGGTTCTATTATGTTGTTTAGGGGATCAGGATGAGATAAGGAAATCTTTATATGTTCAGTACCTACGCAATTTTAAAAATGATTTTGATCTGCTGTTCACTGACATTGGACCCTTGCATACAGAGGGCCAACTGTATGTGGTTGGTCTCCAGAGAGGTTCAGAATTCATCTTTTCCCCATCATTTTTGGCCTTAGAACCATGTACTTTTTACAAGAACATATGCAGGTGCTAGTGGTCTCAGGAAAACATGTTGACAAAAACTGTGGGATTTCATCTTGCCTTTTGTTTCTGAGCAAAGGCCAGACTGCTCCATGAACGATTAATACAAAGGTTCTCTTTCTCCAGACTCTAATATAGACCTTAGCCACTCACTAGCATCAAGCCTTTCCAAGACCTGGTACTTACCTTAAGGAGACCTTGGGGGCACTTCTAAAGGCACAGAGGGGAAAGCAGGAACCTATGCACTCTACTTTGGGTTTAGAGTATCTTTGAGGGTCTTGGCTTCATTAGATATACACTTTATACACTTCTTCATGTTTCTTTTGCTTTTAAGGATGTTTCCAAAGTGCAGCTTCCAGAGTGGCCCAGCATAGGACACAGTGACTGTGTGATTGGACCCCATTTTCCTTCAACTACATGAATATTATGGAAAGCCTTGGTGTTTTCTCTTTTCTTTTTTTGGTTTTATGAGACAGGGTTTCTCTGTGTAATTTTGCGCCTTTCCTGGAACTCACTTTGTAGACCAGGCTGGCCTCAAACTCACAGAGATCCACTTGCCTCTGCATCCCGAATGCTGGGATTAAAGGCGTGGGCCACCACCGGGCTGGAAAGCCTTAGTGTTTTCATATCCTTAATCTAATCAAGCTAATTGATTGGCATGGTTTGCTTTTTTTTCTCATGGTTAAAGTGAAATGCAACAAACACAAATATGCACTGTCTTAGTTAAAGTTTCTATGGCTGTGAAGAGACACCATGACTATGGCAACTCTTATCAAGGAAAGCATTTAATTGGAGCTGGCTTACAGTTTAGTCCATTGTTATCATGGCAGGAAGCATGATTGTATGCAGACAGACATGGTGCTGGAGAAGTAGCTGAGAATTATATATTCAGACCGGCAGACAGCAGGAAGAGAGTGAGACACTGGGCCTGGTTTGAGCATCTGAGACCTCAAAGCCCATACCCTAGTGACCCACTTCCTCCAACAAAGCCACACCTACTCCAACAAGGCCACATCTCCTAGTAGTGCCATTCCCTATAGGCCAATGGGGGGCATTTTCATTCAAACCAGCCCATGCACTGAACCTGCTTCATGCTAGATGTCATGGTTTAATAATGCAACTGTGGATAAAGCATCTTATTTGTTTACATGTATGACAATAAGTTATAAGTTATAATACACTATGTTATCTGTAGAAAGTGCTGAGGAGACAGAGGAGGAAGTAATGGATTGTGTCTCAAAGATCTTGACAATTCCTTCTAGCTCTGGTAATCTGAGTGATATTAAGCTTTCAGTTGGCCCCGTGACTTCTGATCTGCAAAACAACATTAGGAAACTCTCAGTATCACCATCGTCAGTGCCAGACGGCTGTCAGCTGGTCTGCTGTTGACCAGATTTCATCTTGTGGGGACCTTGTTTGAAGGTAGCTCAGCAGGACTTCCCTGCCCAGTCTCTTTGTGGGTAAATATTTCTCCTGAACACAAGTCTGCCTTGGGACATTTGGGCTGGTGTAGAACTGCTTGTATGTTAGTCATTCTTCTGAACTAGTCTCTAGCTATTAGAGGAGAAAAAAAAAAAACCAAACAAACAAAAACAGATTTCCACTAGTGAAAACCCTAGGTTCTTACCTCAATTTCCCAAGGGGAAATTAACTAAATTCTTCATTTGAAACTTCCCTGGTTTCAGGGACTCCCTTCTGCATTATCACATGTCAGGCTTCCTGCTGAGGTTATCTATTTTATTTTGAGATTGAGCTTCATGTAGCCCAGGCTAGCCCTAGCCTCCCTATTTAACTGAGGATGACCTTGGACTCCTGATCTTCCTGCCTCCCCCTCCAAAGTGCTGGGGTTATAGACATGTACAGGCACCTCCATCCGTTCTGAGTCTTAGAGACTCACTTTCCCCACTCCCCAGTCTCATTTTTCTCCCTCTTTCTCCTTCCTCTACTCCCAAGTGCCATTCGCTGAAGATGATCAGCAGAGATGGAACCACCAACAGCGATGAACTGCTGCTGATGTTCAGACCCGAAACCGGCAAGCCGGGCCAGATGACCTGATAACGTTCAGCTGACCCGGCTCCTGAGGAAATGAGATTAAGGATCTCCAGCAAACCCTGGAGCCTTGGCCATTCCCCTCCCTCTACAACATCAACAGAAAAATCTCCCTCTACCTGCAGCAGAATGTCTGGAAGCAGCATTGCTAGTAACTGCAGCCTTAGGTGCCCACTCTCTACTTCTTCCTCACCTCCACATCCTAGGAAACAAACAGAAAACAAAGAGTTCATTGTGGCTCAAGATCCCCAAAGGTGGCTGGCACAGGAAACTCTGGAAACCTAGCCTGGGGGTCCAGGTTTTGGAAGACTGCCTTCCTCCACTAGCCGGAAGATTTGCTGAGGGCAAATAGGAGGGACGCCCTCTCATGTCTCCTGAGCTGTCAGAAATCAGGTCCTGTCATCTCTAGCTTCAAACCAAGCTCACCACCAGCCCACACCAGCTCCACCAATCTCAGGAAACCAACTCCAGCCCACTCTATCGGCAAGCAGGAGTTCCCCACCACCTTCTCCAAACTTGTGGAGTTTTCAGCCTCCACCTCTCCCTGTTCCTTCCCTTCTTAGCAAATGTGTCCCTCCACTGGATTGGTTTTATCCTCCCTTCTCCTTGGGCTTCCCTTTGTGAACTCCCACAGAACTCAATTTCTTCTCTCCACAGCTCTTCCACACAAGAGCCCCCACGTGCATCTCACTCCTTCGCTGCTTCCTCCGTGACACCATTCTGCCACTGACCCTGTGGTTTTGTTTTTTAAATAAATAACCGATGACATAAGCTTCCTTTACTTAAAAAAAAAAAATCCCGTTTAACTCCTGCAGGGCATTAAAGTTTAATACTATTGTTATAAAATTAATATTAAAAGTTTTATTAGACAGAATTCAACCACCAAAGTGGACAGAGTAGAAAGAGGGATGGATGTCACTACCCCTGCCCCCTCCGTGCCCTTTCCTAGAGGTAAAGGCTACAAATGGTTTCATAAAAATGTCTTGATTTGGTTGCTTATGGACTTAGCGATTTATGGTCACTTACCATACCTTCTGCAAACTGGCATTTTTATTTAACAATATGACATAGAGACCATCCCGTGCCAGTCTATGGAGGTAGACTTCATGAAAATGTTCAAGTAGTATTCCATTCTATGTCTGTATTAACTTCAAGTACGTAGTCTCCTTTAGATGGATCCTGAGGCTGTCTCTGTGAACTTCCTCCTCCATTCCTGTGCCCATTCATTTCCGAGATGAACAGTGCTGCAGCACGCTCCTTACACATGTGTCTCTCCATCCTTGGAGCACTAGACACCACTGCCATTCTCGGCTTTTCACATCTCTTTGCATCGTTGGCTCTGTCTTGGTTCTCTTCTGCCGTAGCAGACTATGCTGTTCCCGGGTGCAGAATTGCCGTTCTGGGTTCTCCCTCCTCTCTGTGACTAGTCTCTTCTGAAATGGTCAGGTCTATTCCTTTTCTCATCAGTTCTGATGGAGAAGCACCCCTGCACGCCAGACGAGTTTTCTCGAACGGCTTCATCCATGTATTCCTTACTACGTGGAAGGTCGCACGCTGGAGCAGACACCCTAGCCTGCCTGTGGCGTTGGGGTGGGGAGTGAGCCGTTTGCTGGGATTGTTCTCAAGAAGCTCAGAAGTTCAGAACCCAAGTGACTGAATGTGGTGATATTGTGCTCCCCAATATATTGTGCGCACTAATAAACTTACCTGGGGTCGGAGAACAGAACAGCCACTAGATAGACATAGAGGTCAGAAAATGGTGGCACACACACACCTTTAATCCTAGCATTCTGGAGATAGAGATCCAGATCTCTGTGAGTTCAAATCCACACTGGAAACAGCCAGGCATGGTGACTCACGCCTTTAATCCCAGGAAGTGATGGCAGGAAGCAGAAAGGTATATAAGGCGTGAGGATCAGGAACTAGAGCCTTTTTAAGCATTTAGCTTTTAGCAGCAGTTCAGCTGAGATCCATTCGAACCGCTGAGGAATTGGCAAGGTGAGGTTGGATGTAGCTGGTTCTGTTTCTCTGATCTTTCAGCATTCACCCTAGTACCTGGCTCCGTATTTTTTTTATTAATAAGACCTTTTAAGATTCGTGCTACAACTGAACCAGCCAAATGAAGGACGTTGGATGGACTCTCAGGCCTGTCTTCTTGTGTAACCCATGACCTCCAATAACCTCCCATGACCTCCAATAACCTCTGTGCTATCTTGGCTGTAGTGCGCACAGGGCCTTCCACACACACTAACTACCACAACTGCAAAGCTGTGAGAGGAACATTTCTGAGAAATATGTGTCCACTCTTTCCAACCTCGAACGGGGACTCCTAGACACTCGAATGGTTGCTTCTTATGTTTAGTACTTTCTATATTCAGTAGTCATTACACATGTTTGCTGACATATACGTGAGTGAACTAACCTGTGTTTGCTGGAGGAAGAATCACAGAAGCCCCTGAAATAGAGTAAAAGCCCACATTTATCTCTCAATGGCACATGCTTCGATTGTGTTCATTTTTCGGCCGATTCACGAACACAGAATGCCTCCTTTTCCTAGGGCCCTAATTAAATAAAGAACTATGAAGAACTTCTTATATTGGCAGGCAGTAGAACATAGTGGTTTAAGAAACACAATCCGTGGGCTAGGGAGTTGGCTTAGGAGATAGCGTGCTTGCTTTTGAAGTTGAGATTGCCAGTGCCTGCATAATTGCTGGGTGGGTGTGGCAGCTTGTCTGTAATCCTGGAACTCAGGGGGCAGAGACAAGCAGATCCCTGGAGCAAGCTAGGCTACTCAGATTGGTGACCTCTGGGTTCAGTGATAGACCCTGTATCAACATAAGGTGGACAGTGACTGAGGCAGAGACACCCGATGTCAAACCTGTGGCTTCCGCATGCACATAAGTTTACATGCAGCTCTGGAATCAGAGGTCCTGGGTTACTGAAGGCCATCCATCACCAGTAATATGGAGCCATGGGTGTAGAGTTAGAGCAGAAGGTTTGATGAGGTAGCCAGGCTGGAACACTTGGCACAGTGCCCAGCACACAGGAGGCACGTGACATTTGTCAGTTGCATTGTGGTCCTTATAATCGCTGGCATCCGTTTTCATTTTTGATCAGGTATTTATTTTCCCTAACACCGTGGAAAGCACTGCCTGGGATAATTCGTCAGCTTAGGTTTTCACACTGGTGGGATTTCTTTCTTGCCTCTGTTTATAAAACAAATTCTTGTTGAGGCTGACTGCATGTCAGTCTTCCTGGTAGCACCTGGGCTGGTCCTTAAGCCTTTAGAGGAGTCCATTGGAGAGAAGAGGAACATGCTGTGGTCAGGGCTAGGGAGAGAGGGAGGATTTGGGGGTGGGGTGGGTGGGGGTGGAGTGGGGTGGTGGTGGTGGTGGGCAGACCTGCCTTGCCTTTTTTGTAGTTTAGAACGTTGCGGGAATCTCTGAAAAGCACGCCTCTTTTCACACTGCAAGGTTTTGTTTCAAAATGGTGTTTCCTCACAGTCGGGGGCCTGGGTAGCTTCTGGAGTCTGGTTGTTGGAGGTGACAGTACAATCTCGGCTGTTTAGGATGGAAGGCTTCCCCATGACTGCGGCTCCTCAGGGTGATTCGGGAAACAGCATTTGTTCTGTTCATGCGCATGCTCCTGCCCCCATCCAGTTAGGAATTTTGTCCAGTGGTGGCTGGTGGTTGTTTTGTTTGCGCTTTCCTGGATCTTTCCAAGGACCTCACCCTCAAAAGGAAACAAAACAAACCAGTAAAACAAACAAACAAACAAACAAACAAACAAAAAACCCAAGATAATCCCTCAAACTCAAATCTGGTGGAACAAACTCTTCTGACCTAAACCATAGAGAGGCTCTGCGTTTCTTCTCTGTGACTCTGCATCCGAGAGAGAGGAAGCTCTGTGCTGGGTTAAAAAAAAATGTCAGGTCTGCTGCCCCGCGAGGCTAGTGTTCTCGGGGACAGACCCTCCAGGGTGACAAGTGCATTCCACAGCTCAGTCACAGAGGGCTGGGTGTTGTGGTCACAGCCAGCGGGGCTGCTTCTTTCTCCTCTCTTCCTCCCTCTTCCCCTGTCTGGCTTCTTTGTCACATCCTCTGTCACGTGAAATGATTGTTCAGATTACTGCTGTAGAGTCAAAGAAAAGATTACCAGCCGAAGGACAGAAAACTCACCTTGAACACTGGGTGTGACCTTGGACAAGCCCCTATCCTTTGTGAGACCCCGATTCTTTCTACGGAAAGGAAGGGGTTCCTTCTTTCAGAGCACGTCTGAGATGCTACCCCACCTTCAACATTCCGGAGGTCCCAAGTACATTGTCCCGCCAAGCCAGTGACCTACTTGTAGAGGACAGAGAGAGCAAGCCATGGCTTGGAATTCTCCAGAGCAACCAGGTAGGAGGGGTTCCTCCCAATAAACTTGACCACAGATTGGAGCAGGCTGTTTCTCCGAAGCTCTGGTGAGGGTTGGCTGGGCCACACCTTTGGCGGTGCCCCAGCGACATCTGGAATGTGCTTATCAGAGAGCATCGGACTCCTCAGCCTGACACTTCCACCATCCAAATACCAAGGGAGATGAGGGCTGGCAGGAGGTGGGGCCCAGGGGATGGATGGATGGATGCCAGGTCAGCATTTCCATTCTGCCGCTGTTGAAAGTTCGGCTCAGAAAGAACGCGCTCCGATGATGCCTGAACACACGGAATAGGTTCTTCTCCCTGAATGACGCGTCCTCAAGAGGAACCGAGGGAGGGCCCTTGGGGACACTGACAGCTTAGCGAAGTCACTTCTGTGCCTAATGGTTTTGAAAAGAATCAATTAGTTAGTTAATTAATCTAATTAGAGAGGTGGTGGCAGAAGCCTGGGGTTGGAAGTCGGGACACTTGGGCTCTAGCTCTGGCTTTGCCACTACCTGGCCGAGCAGCCTTGGGCAAGTTGCTTCATCAATCTGGGTCTTCGTGTTCCCTATTAGTCTCTTCCTGCCCTGGCACTCCTCCACTGAGCTCTGGAGATAGAAACCATCTTGCTGTTAGAACAGGGCCAGAGCCACCTCCAGGGTTTTGTGTGTGTGTGTGTGTGTGGGGGGGGGGTTACTTCCCTTTTGTGGAGGTGTGTCTCTGGTAGAAAAGTCACATTCTCTTCCCATGCTCTCCCACCTGAAGAAGACCTTTGGGATATAGCCAAGAAGGTGGTGGGTGTGTAGCATGGATGCTTGAAAACTTAGAAGGGGGCTTTGGCAATAGTCACCTAGCTATGCCAAGAATGCCACCGGCCCTGTTGTTTGCTCAGGATGCTTGGCGTGTGTGGGAACCAGCATTTCCTAACTCCGAAGAGCCCAGGTGCCAGGGTGAGGCTGTCTTCATTGTACATCCTAGCCACACCACGGGGAATCATTCCGGGTGCTTCGCTCAGGATCAGGCGCTTATTTCCTGCCAAGGATTTCACTGAGCTGTTTTGCATGGATCGCCACACCCTATCCTCAGAGCCCTATAAAGCAGGTGCGAATTGGATCTGCATCTTACAAACGAGGAGACCAAAATGTAGAAGGGTCATGTGACCTACTCAAAGTCCAGTAGCTGCAAATGGCACTTGAGACTTGAATTCTGGGTCTATTGACTCCAACACTATGGCTTAGCTATCTTCCAGACCTTAATTTATTTAATTTTCACTCAAAAAAATCTATAAATAGGCATTACAGTCCCCATTTTACAACTAGGCCTTGAGAGCCTGAGGGCTAACTAGTTCCAGCTGGTTGAGATTACTGCAGGAGAGGCAGAACACAGAGCAACCCTTCTCAACCCTCAGGTCCTGGCGGTTGATTGCTCCGGGCCATACTTAGAGTTCAGTGGCTAAAGTTTAGTCTTTTAGGAAAGCCCCACTGAGTTTGACAGGGCACACTGTGGGCTGGCCAGAGTGTCTGCTTCAAAAGCAGGGAAGAACAGACAGACACTGTACAGTGCTGTGAGGAAATCTCTAAAGTGTGGATGATCTCACCCAGCCCTAGGTCTGCTTGTCTCGCCTCAGGCCGTTCCGGCTTAGGCACATCTAGTCTCCCAGGGTGACTGGCCTTAACTTACCTCATGAGGATATTTATTTTAAGAATCAACTGAGATTTGGCTGCGAAAAGACTTTGTAAGTGAGAAATGGATGCAAACCGGATCATTATTATTGATAGTCTGTATCTCTGCTTTGATCTTTCACCAAATTGGGCGTTGAACTGTATCACCTTCAAGGTTCTTGAGACACACAGTGCCTCATCGTCTGAGCCTACTGTCCCGTGATGAAGCAGCATGAAGCCATGTTAGCAGCTCAAGAGAGCGCCTGCCTGACTCATTAAGAGATGTCACACCTAGGATGTGAGGCATTTCAATGACTGCCACGGTGACACATCCTCCATCCCAGAAAGTCTGGAATGGGGCATTCCTGAACAGATTCAGGCATGAGAAGAGCAAGGACAAGTTATAAACAGATGGCCCAGGGCTTAGGACAGGCAAGAGGTTGTTTTCATTTTTTTATGTTCTCGTTTTGAAAGGCTCTGCAGGTATAGCTGAGCGTCCATTTCTCTGACGTTATTACCCTTTGGGAAGCATACATTTCCATACACCCATGGATTCCTTCACACCAGGGCTTCATGCTTCTCAGCCTACTTATTCTAGCAGGGGCTGGGTAGGGATTCCCTTGCACTCTTACCCGCTCAGTCATCCAAGGGACAAGAGGAGAAGTCTGAGGACACTCTCCCAGTGACTGGCCAGCTCTGCAGGATTTTGTGCAAATTCTTCCTCATGAGACAGTAGTTCCCCACTTTGACCTAGTGGTCCTCAGGTGGCAAGGGATGGGGAACTTAGCTCCTTTGGGGCTTTCTTTGAGTCTCTGAGGAAGACAGAAGCAGCCTCACAGCTTTAGCTTAGAGTAAGAACATCTCTTCATCACTTCACCCAACAGGCTGTGGGAGAGCCACCGGAAGAGCTCAGAGGCACGACGTGACTCAGCGGGAAAGGAGGGTCTGTGGCACAATGACAGCTCCTCGGGTGTCTCCCCACTTGATCCCGTCCCATCCGTGAAAATAGGATTGCAAAGATATTGACATCTTTGTCTAATAATTAGCTGCTGGAGAAGCCCCTGCTTGGGGTGGTACAAAAAAGTAGTTGTTATCAGGCAAAGGAAGAAGGCAACCTTCAGGAAGAAGGCCAAGCCAACCAGCACTGATGGAGGGCACGGCAGGGGGCAAAATTTGATTCTGTGTGATAAAATAAGATTTTTTGTCCTACAAATAAGAATGAAAGTTGAGAAGAGAGTGAAGAAAGCTTAAAAGTCAAACCACAGAAGTTCTGACACAGATTTATGGAAAATGGGACTTAAGGATGATGTATGTCTGATGATTACCATTCCTCAGCTTATAGTGATCCACTCTTGATGACATCGGAAAGAACTGGCTTAAAAAAAAAACAAAGACTGTGTCTACCTTGAGCTTTTGTTAACTTTGTTAGTCTTTCACAACTTGGGGAAATTGAGTCATAACAAAATCATTTATTTAAACTGGCTTTTTCTTTTTGGCTTTTAAAAACACCTATTTACTTAAATGTTACACAAAAGTTTCATCACAAGATTGGTAAATCTGTCCTTCTGTGTGCTCAACAACCAATGCTTAGAGGCCTACACCAATGAGGATAAGAGAGTCCAAAGGGACAGCCTACAGTTTGGTCTTTGCCCTCCAAGGGAAAAACGTGACCCAGAGGAGGATGGCACCTCTCTGGTCATATGTCTCTTTAGTGGAGAGGCCACAGTCTCCAGAGGGTGGACAACTAGCCAGTGTTCATCTTAGAAGAAGAAGGCGGGACTACTTAGTTTGATGACAAACCTATAAACACTTTGTTGGATTTATTTGGTGGGTGATACTCTTTCTGTATATCCTTTGGCTTTCTTTCTTTCTTTTTATTTTATCATCAAAGAAAGGCTACGATTGACTATGTGTTTATTCTTCCAGCCTACACCAAAGTTACTGTAGACTTTGGCAAAATACTCTTGCTTTTCACATTCTGTTAGCTAGATGATAGTGGAGTTTGTGTAAGTGGAGAAGATGTATAACTTCATTTATTATCAGGAGAAATAAAATTTGCTACTTTTTATTCAATTTACTAAGACTTCTTCATAAGACTTCAGAAGGCCGAACGTTTGATAATTTCTGATTGTGTGCTAATGAAAGCCAGCACTTCAACCTTCTGATCAAAGAATGTTGATCCACACTGTGGTCCTATTGTGAGGCGGTGCCTAACATCATCAAAGAACTCCGTATTTATAGGCTTAGTTTTGATTTTAACAATTCTTTAAAAATCGTAAAAAGACAAACGTGTCTTAACTCCTCTTTAGACTGGAAAAACTTGGTTAATCACAAGAACAACAAGTTAGTTCAATGTTAAGTCCTTGGTAAACTAAAGACTCCTTTATACTACAAATAGACTTTATGCATCAAAATAGACTTTGTGACATTGAAAAATGTTGTATATGCTTAAAATTTCTTAAAGGATGTTTATTTCTTACTATATAAATGTGTATTTTTAATGAACTATAAAGATGATGGAAAAAAGATATACCCTTTTAGAACAATGAAGAGCAACGGTCGAGGGAAAGAGAGTGGGAGATCCTAGCTGGATCAAGAAAAGAGAGGGAGAACAAGGAATAGTAGACCATGGTAAATGAAGACCACATGAGAAGGGGAGGAAGCAGAGAGCTAGGGAGGCCCACGGAGATCCACAAAGATACCCCCGCAAAAGACTGCTGGCAATGGTCACGAGACGGCAGGAACTGACCTACTCTGGTGATGGGATGGCCAGACACCCTGATAGTTGTGCCATAAACCCCATCCAAGGACTGAGGAATCTGGATGCAGACATCCACGGCTGGGCCCCTGGTGGAGCACTGGGAGTCTAATTAGTGAAAAAGAAGAGGGTTTATACGAGTGAGAATTGCTGAAGCCAAGGTTGGATAAGGCACAGGGACAAATAACCAAATGAATGGAAGCACAGGATCTATGAACCAAAGGCTGAGGGGCCCCCAACTGGATCAGGCCCCCTGAATGGGTGAGACAGTCTTTTGGCTTGATCTGTTTGGGAGGCAGCTGTGCGTTGGTGCCGGGTCCTGAGCTCGTTGCATGAGTTGGCTGTTTGAATCCTGGGACTTATGCAGGGACGCTTGGCTCGGTCTGGGAGGGGGGGACTGGACCTGCCTGGACTGAGTCTACCAGGTCGACCCCGGTCCTCGGGGGAGACCTTGATCTGGAGGAGGTGGGAATGGGGGGTGGGCTGGGGGGAGGGGGAGGGGGCGAAAGGGGGAGAACAGGGGAATCTGTGGCTATTATGTTGAACTGAATGGTGTTGTAAAATAAATTTAAAAAAAAGATATACCCTTTTAAAATTGTGCCTCTGATCTGTAACCATGGAAACTGAAGATTAATTTTTTGAAAAGCCATCTACTGGTAATTTGACTCTTCTATATTACCATCCTTCAGGACCCAGAGACTTCTTGTCCAAGCTCCTCCTTTGGAGCTTGTAGTTTATTGGTTTTAGTCTTATGAACTGGTGCTGATGAAAACCTGGAGAGAGGACAAGCTCCCATCCATGGGCAGCGGTGGGGAGGGGTGTCTTAATAAATACTGCTGACCCCACAGCTGTATAGATTGCTGAAAGAAGTGAACTTATCATCCCTGAGTCAAGGAGCCAATTCAGGAGGCTCTAACACCCAAAGGGGGAGATCAAAGAGAAGCATCCAGGGAGGCTGTCAGTTACTTCTAAAGAGGACCCCATGGTATCGCATCTACACAAGGGACACAATGTTGGTGGAGTTGACTTTGTTTTTACTTTTACTAAATATGATGCTTGTGTTACTGTTAGGGGCAAAGCCTCTTAATGGGAAGAATATTTCTAGTCTGCAATTCAGATAGAAAAACTATTGAACTAATCCAACTTTAAAATCCCCCCATTTTGTGATTGGGATCCCTGGTTAGTTCAACTTCTGGAGTCTAAGCTATGCAGGGAAGATTACATTGTACAGAGACTAGGTTTCAGCTAGGAAAAAAAAAATCAAAGCTTGACATCAAGAATTGAATGTTTGGGTAAAATGGGTCACATTTACCATGCAGGCACACTGGGCAAGAGTGATAGTTGTGCTTGCACAGCAGGGCATCCCAGTTTCAGATAGTACCCTTTCCCTAGAATGGGACACAGCCCCCACTGGAATAATTCCACGGTAGCCTAGTTTCAGGATGAAGCTATCTAGAGAATAAGATTCCCAGAGTCTGTGTCTCCGGTGTGTCTCTTCAGGCCCATCAAAATGGTGGTACTGGGAAATGACTCAAGCCTCCCATCCAACTGGTATAGGAGCTCTGTGCTAGTTCAGTTGGTCAGACCCTTCACCCTGGCCTTCTTTATCCTCTCAGTGAAACTAATCTCGGGGCTAAGAGGCTAATACCTGTGTATTTTGGTGTCTATGTTGACTCTATAGGAATCCTCAGGAGAGTTCTAAACAAATGTAAGACTAAACATCAAATAGCTACAGGACAACAACTGGCTATCAGCAACAGTAAACAAGAATGTAAGGATGAGCTCTAACTGTTCTAACCTATAGGGTTTATCAGTCCTGTCAGGGATGCCCTTAAAGTGTGGGTCTCGACACCTTTGGGTGTCCAATGACCCTTTCACAGGCGTGTCATATCAGATATCCTGTATATCAGATATTTATACTACAATTTATATATAATATATATAATGTACAAATATATACAGTAGCAAAATTTCAGTTATGAAGTGGTGGCAAAGATAATTTTAATGTTTGGGGGTCACCCCAACATGGGAACCTGTATTAAAGAGTCCCAGCATTAGGAAGGTTGAGAATCATTGCCTTAAAAGAATGCCCAGCCAGCTGGATCCCTCAGCTGGATAATTCAGGAGAACAAGATTGCACTTACCGTGAAGCTAACAGAAAGAAAATGTTTGTGTCACGCTCGATGAAAGATGGTTACGCTTTTATTCCCAAGAACACAGCTCCTGAACCAACAATTTACCAGGGCCTTTCAAGGCTTTAGCCACCCTGGCCAATCCATTTTAGAAAAATTAACTAATTAAAACAAAAGTGAAACTAGAACCAATAAGAGAAGAAGAAAAGGAGGAAGGAACTGTAAAAGACAAATGGTTAGGGTCCAGTTTCAGTCTGAAGTACACTGAAGTTCCTCAGAGTCACAGATAATCAAAGTGCCCTTCTGTCCCGTGGAGGGTGGCCGGTGCTGGCTTCTCTTGGAGCTCTGAGATCTGGAAGTTATAGGAATTCTCCATGTGACTGCGGGCAGCCTCAAGCCTCGGAGTGTTCATTACATAACACTTCATGTCTTAGACCAATAGGATGGGGAATTTGGGAAGGTGGCGTGTCCTAGCCTATGGGAAGACAGGACCGGGATTTGAAAACCCTTGACTTGTGCTGAGTCAGAGTGCCAGCCATGTCTTACCGTTTCTCTGTGCTGATGTCCCTTTCCGCAGAACAGCATATTAAAAAGCTCTTTCACCAGCCTCCTGAATTGTCATTTTCTTTCCAACAGTGATGATGACTCCCCAGCTCATGGTTCCGTTCCAGCCATGGTCCATTTCTTCTGGCTGTTAAGGGTGAGGCTGTTTTGGCAAGGCTGACTAAATCCAGAGAATAATTTCTACCCTGATGGGCTGTCCATTGTTTCTCTTTCTAAGAGGGAACCCCTAACACATGGAGGACTGAAAAAGTTCAAGGTTTCAGACAAGGGTGACAGGGCAGAGGAAAGCAAGAGCTGTGTGGCCCCTGATGCCCGATCACTGCCACACACCTGAGCCATCCCATGGACTCCCTGTCTACTCCTGGCACTCCTTCATTGTGCTGGCTTTTCATTTGTTTATGTTGCTTCCTGAGCACAAAGACTTGCGTAAGAAATTGGCTTCGACTTCTACAGCGATCGATCGGCCATGTGGTGGGGGCAGACTGGCTTATGGGCACCTGCCTGCGATGTGGCTGATGCTCCAGTACGTGCATGCGTGCGTGCGTCCTGTTGTAAGGAAAGGAGAGCTGATTCCTTTTTGCCTAGGGTGACTCCTGGGTGGCTCTAAGAATGTGGACGAGTCACAGGTGGAGCATGGGTGGGAGGAAGCCAGTGTGCCTGGCAAGGGAAATGGCACACAAAGGTAACTCGTCTCTTTGTCTCCCTGTGTCACCCACTGTGAGTGACCGAGTGGGTGGCGATGGGTCAGAGATTGCTAGGCAGGAGGCCAAGGCAGCAGAGCTAGTGTACTGGCACACTCAATAGCCTATTTCCTATTTCCCAGGGCCTAGCAGGCCCCAGCCCCACACCCCTGCCTTTCCTCCTCGCTCCTCAGCACGCCTGCCTCTTTGCTGTCAAAAGCTCAGCTCTGACCCCAACTCTGCCTCCACCCAGCCTATCTTTCCCCATCTTCTGCATTCCACGCTCTTTTTACAGCTTTCTCCTCCTGGATTATTGCAACACCTTCCTCATCAGTCTTCAGGACTCAGTCCCCTTACTACTCCTCATGTACTGTGCTTCCAAGGAATCTTTCTGAAAGCGTTTTCTTGCCTCGAGCATCTATGCTAGTCTTTCTAAGCACAGTTCCGCAAATACCACTTTCCACTGTGAACAAACAGGGCTGCATTCATATTCATGGCCTAGATGTCTTTCCCTCCTGCCTCTGTCTACTCACACAGGACCCTCATCTTTTCCTAAGTGCAACCCAAGGTTTTTGGGGTCCCTCAGGGAAATGCCACTGAAAGCATGCTGTACCACCAGCACCGATCTGTGCATACTTGCCAGTGGTCTTCAATGAGATCAGCATCTGCACTAAGGAAAAATTGAACTTCCATAGCAACGTGGCATTCTGTGGACTTTAGCTGATGTGATTTGAAAACAAATTACACACAAATACAACAACAAAAAAAGCACCATGTCCTTCACGGATCACTTGAGAAACACCACCCTAGCTTGTCTCATGCTCAGTCAAGCCTGGTCTCTCTGTGCACTCTCTCCTCAGCTCCCTGGTACCCTGTTGGCTTCTTGGAGCTGTTTTTTTGTTTGTTTGTTAGTTTTTGCATTGGGAACTCAGTTCCCAGTGCCGCTTCCTCCTGGAGGAGCCTTCCAGAACATGTGTGGAGCAGCTGCCTTTAAAAATGCACCTGCTGTTCAGAACATCTGCTCTCTGGTGTGAAATCTGGACTCAAATTTTAAAGCACAGTTTACTCTGCCCCTCTAAAACAAATTTGTTTTTCCTGTTTTAACACAGTAATTTTTTCTAAAGAGTTTAAAAAATTAACTATTGAAATATAAATTATAAACAATAAAGTGCACTGATGTGTGTGTGTGTGTGTGTGTGTGTGTGTGTGTGTGTGTGTGTGTATGTGTGTGTGTGACTTGTGTGACAGGTGGACATGCACAGGTATGTATGTCTGTGCATCTGTATTTGGAGGTCAGAGGTCGCCGGCATCTCGGGCATCTTCATCAGTTGCACTTTGCCCTACTTTTTTTCCAGACAGGGTCACTTAATTTGGAGCTTTCAGATTTTGCTAGACTGGCCAGCATGCTCCCGGCTCTCCTGTCTCTGCCCCCAAAATGCTGAAATTAAAATCGCATGCTGTGACAAGCAGCTTTTTATATGTGAGTGCTGGGGATCCAAAGTCAGGATCTCATGCTCACGTGGTGATTACTGATTGAGCCGTCTCCCCAGCCCAAATACACTCTACTTTTATTGTACAATTGGATGGATTTTGACCAAAGTATATACTCGGATGATCACCATCCCAGTTAGAGATGGAGCAATGCCTGTTCCCCCTAGAAATTCCTCTTAGCACTGAGTTGCCAATCCCACTTCCGATGCAGCTAACGGCAACTGATCTGCCTGCTTCTTGTGGACAGGGCCATAGTGGGTGCTGCTGGCTGATTTGCCTGGTGTGGTAGTTTTCAGAGTCCCCATGATTTAAATGTATCAGTGGTTCAATCCTTGGAGCTGCTGAGAAGCGTTTCATTGCAAGTGGTACATTTTGTTTATTCGTTCTCTTGTTGATAGACATCTGTCTGGGCTAGTTCCAGCTTTCGGCTGCTTGAATAAGTTCTCCGAACAGTCATGTACAAATCTTTGTTTTGACAACTGTTTTCATTTCCCTTGGGTACATGCCTAGTAGTAGTATTGCCGGGTCATCTGGTGAGGATTATGATTAACTTCATTAGGAGCCAACATTAATCCCAGGTCACATTGCTTTGACAGAATCACATGACTTCTGGTTGGACCCTAGGTTCGATGATCCTTGCTGAATTGCACTTTGCCCTGGCAAAGTTCCTATCTGGAATGACCTCATTGCTTTGCTCCAGGGACTCGCTCTACTGGATCACACAGGGAATTCTCTCCCTGGTTCTTCATCTGGGGTCCTCTCGAAGAGTCAAAACCTTTCAGTTTGCTTCCTGCTGCAGACACTGCTTAGCTCAAGGCCCTGTTAGAGGTCAGACTGCTTGCAAATTAAAAAGTGACCGAATATCCTTTTCTCCATTTCTGGAACCACTCGTGATGTAAGGCCAAGTCACGTTTTCCAACTGACTCCAGGAAATATGTCTCCATCTTTGCTCCCAGTGACACCATGTTGCCTTTTCATCATTCAGACTGGAATTTCCTTGGAAAAGCCTTTCTGTTGTTGTTGTTGTTGATCATGAGAAAGCAGGTGTCCTTGTTACTTTATCAGCGTCCATTTCTCACTTCCTTCACTACCCTTCTTAACTTTTAACGTTTGCTTCCCCAAACATTTCTTTTTCTTTTTCTTTCTTTTCACTAGACAACTACAAAAGCAAGTTTTTTTTTTTTTAAGGTTGATGTTGTAGAATATTATTTTAAGGCGTGTTACATTTGTTCGTGCTGTGGAACATTTGTTTAATGATGCAAAGATGTGTTGCGTTCTTTTATGTTGCAATTGTTTAACTCTGTGAAGCTGTGTTCTTACTGTGCCTGTGTAAAACACCTGATGGTCTAATAAAGAGCTGAATGGCCAATAGTGAGGCAGGAGAAAGGATAAGTGGGACTGCCAGGCAGAGAGAATAAATCTGGAGGAGAAATCTGGGAGGAAAGGGGAAATAAGCAAGAGAACAAGGAGGGGAGGACACCACGGGTCAGCCACCCAGCCACCCAGCCAGTCACGGAGTAAGAGTGAAAGTAAGATATACAGAAGTAAGAAGAGGAAAAAGCTCAGAGGCAAAAGATAGATGGGATAATGTAAAGTTAAGAAAAGCTGGCAAGAAACAAGCCGAGCTAAGGCTGGGAATTTATAATTTAAGAATAAGCCTCTGTGTGTGATTTATTTGGGAGCTGAGTGGCAGGCCCCCCAAAAGAGCAAAAACAACCAGCAACAGGTTAGTCTGTCTGTCTTGTCAGTATGTACAAGGACCAAACACAGTATCTATTTTTAGTAAGTGCCCAAGGAACTCATGGATAATAAAATGATTACCCAAGCCATATAGGTTGCCTGAAAATGAGTAACCCTTTCACACACACTCCTGTACTCACATGTGTGAACACACACACAGACATGCACACACGTATACATTATGCACATACATGGTACACACAGTAACATCGTAACACAGTTTGTCTAGAATTTGGTTAAATTTGTTTTCCATCATAAAACTTATACAAGGTTTTTTTTTTTAATATTCTGACAGATTATAAATTTCCAAGAGTGTGAGTGAAACAGTTAGCTTTGCCCACACTTGAGATCCATTTAGATCACGCACAAGCTCCATGGCCCATACTCTTTCATCGGTCTTTCCTTATTTTCTCGTTTATATCTTTATTTCCTCCGGCTTTTCTTCCAATCATCTTCCCTCTTAAAAGAATTCCTTTGTAAGTTCTGATGTCTTGGACCTCTCATCTGCACGGTGAGGTATGTGGGTATCATTATTTTAGCCTCACTTACCATTAGCCTGCCTCTAAGGCTTGCAAATCTTGGAATCTGGCATGCCTGACTTCACAGAAACATACGTACTTGTGGGTCTTATTCCTCACTCAGGTTTAGCCAGTAGAAAAATAAAGAATGACTTTATTGGTATGTGTGTTGGGGGAATACCATTCAGTTCTCATATTATCTGTGGGATACATCTCTGGCTGGGAAGATGAGATTGGTCATCAGTTGGGAAAGGAAGGCAAGATACTATGCTTCCTCTCTTCATACAGAGCAACAGGGGTTCAGACCACTCTGTAAATCTTCCTCAGCACTGTCCTCCTCACCTTCTGATAAAATGGGGGGCCCAACTTACTGAGACACGATCCCTGGGCCTGCCTGATGAGGAACGCTTCCTGGCTTACTGTTAGTGTGTGATGTGCCCAAACTAGCAGCGGCAGATAAGAAGCCAACAAAACAGAATGAAAATAAAAATATCTCACCTAAATTTATGGGAGATCTCCCTACATCTCTGAGAAGACTTATTCTACCTGAGACATTTCTGGAAAAGAAGAGCCGGTTTAACACAGGGATACCATTGTACAAATGACAAGACAGTGGCCTGATTAGGTCTGCATGGTTGAGGCTGGGATGGAGAGGGTCCAGCATCTGGCTTCCCCATCCTGATGCTGGTGCCCTTTAATTTCATCTGTCTGTCTCACTAAAGGATATTTTTAGTACATTGTACTTATTAAATATAGTTTTATGTTCTCTGACCCGTCCTAAAAGCTTGTGAGCCAAATGTTTCATATCCCTCTGAGAAACATAAATTAAATAGCTCATTTTATGTGTTCTCTAATTGATCTTGCAGCTTTGTTTGGAGGCTCAACTCAGGCAGAGGTGAAGGAACACAGTAAAATAACCACTGCACAAGGAGGAGGTGGTAGTGTTCTCATTCCAGTGACTCCTTTGGGTGACCAAGGACACCCCACGTTCTACTTTGGTTTCTATTGCTGTGATAAGCACCATGACCAAAGCCACTTGGGGGAGGAAAATTTTTTTTTCAGTTTACAGTTTATAGTCCATTATGAAGGAAGTCAGAGCAGGAAGTCAGGGCAGGATCTGGAGGCAGGAACTGAAGCAGAGGCCATGGAGGAATGCTACTTACTGGCTCATTCCCTTGTGGCTTGCTCAACCTTCCTTTTTAGACAACAAGGCCCACTTGCCCAGGGGTGGCAATGCCCACAGTGGGCTGAGC